ATTTGTTACTATGTTTCTAGAAATAATTGAATTCTTTCGACGAATTTTAATAAAATTTTTAAGAATAATTACATTTTTCCAGGAATTTGATTAAAATTGTCTTAAAAATAATTGAAATTCTGCAATGAGTTTTACTATTTATGAAAATAATTGAATATATTGTGAAGAAATTTAAAAAAATAAAATTATAATTATGGTGACTAACTTCCCCTGATTATTTTCAAAAAATTTAAATAAAATTCTTTAAAAGAATTTTAAACATATCGATATTATAATCGATATGTTTCAATTTGTAAAAGGAACACAGAAAAATGTTGTCTCACAAAAATCGAGAATTTATTCTGAAATGGTGAATACGGAAAATTTTTTAGAGAAGTTACAAAAAATTACAATATATACCAATATTAATTAGTAAAAAAGAGAAAACTGAGAGACAATTTAAAATTTTGCGATTGTTGAGTAGTTCAACAATTATTCTATCTAAAGTTCAGAAAGTTTCCATTAAATTCATTATTATTTTTATCGAAAACTCTTAGCACACGGAAAACATTTTTTCAGTCAAAGTTCCCGAACTGTACTTCTTTAGTGAACGGTGGATATGAGAAGAAGTTAAGGTCTAATTCTGCATTACACTAAAGATGTCCCTGAATTTTTCAAAAATCTGCCGTGAACTTCGAGAATTTCTCCTGCTCTACACAGTAGATTCCTGAAAAGTTCAAGAATTTCTTTAGTGTAATGCAGGATTAGACCTCAACTTTTTCTCATGTTCTTTTCTCACTGTTCAGGTGTTCAGGTACAGTTCGAGAACTTTCCCTGAAAAATTTTTTCCATACATTTTCAACCTACGGTTTTGTAGGATTTTCAAAAAAATTTTCGTATCTATAGTTCTGAAATATATTCTTCATTTTATTAATCATGAACATTTTCCCTTATGTACTTTTTCTGTGGTAAGACAGGCAGGTAAATTGCTACCGTGATAATTCTTTAAATCATTCACGCGCGCGTAGGATTTTGCTAGTACATAATAATAATTTGCTATTCCGTGAACAGAAAGTGTCGTCTTTTGTTATTCTATAGTAATTAATGTTTTGATAGGAATTTTGGTTATGAGTATTCCCATATGTGTGATAACCACTTGATGCAAAGAAATTTTTTTACAAATAAAAGAAAAATGATCAAGACATGCCTCTATTCAACTGATGTTAAAAATGGTAAATACATGTAATTTTTTCAAGAATTCTCTATTATTTTGTTAATTCTTATAAATTTAATGAAATTCTCAAACTTGGTATTGATAAAAAGTTTAAATTCTAACATCGAACAATTTTTTTTACAATATTATTCAATTAGTGAACTGAATTTTATTTGCCACTTTTGTTTGACAAAAATAAATTGATTAAAGACACTTAAATTTTGAAGTTTAAATATTTAGTATGCTTTTTAGATTAAAATAGTGTTTTTCAATTAAATCTTTAGAATTTTTGTTTCTTTTGGTAAATTCAGTCTCCTATAAAATGATAATTCAATAAACTTCAAAAAAAATTCCGCATTTTTTACATTTTTTGATACTCTTGCCATTCCGGTTACGCAGAATCGGGAACTTTATTTATTTCAGAAAAAATAATAGGGGAGACTGGGGCGAAAAGTTAAACTGCCAAAACCGTTAAAATTCATTATCTTTCGAACGGAAATAGTTAGAGCATTGCAATTTTAATTATAGAAGGGTGTTATCACCCTAAATAAATGTCCGGAGTTGTGTGCAATTCTGTTCATTTTTGTGGTGCCTATATTGAAAGTTTTTTTTCAACCTACTTTTGAAAATTTTTTCGAAAAAGAAAATATCAACTTTTAAGTATATTTTTTGCATTTATCCTCACCGCGATTTTTTTACTTCATTATTTGGGTCCCCTGAAGAGATACCTGAAGGTATTTGCTAAATATCTTTAGTCAGATTTTTTATATTTGTTTTTAAAGCCAAAAACGCACCCTGGGGCGAAAAGTTAAATAATGGGTGGGGCGAAAAGTTAAATGTATTTTTACATGTTATTAAAAAATTTTTTTTTCTTTTTCGTTTTTTTGGGTTTATTTGTTTAAAAATTATTTATTTAACATTGGGCAAGTACTCTGTCAAAAAACAAGACCGTTCACATGAAATAAACCAAAAAAAAATTTTTTTTTTTGAAATTTTAATTTTTTAACTTTACAACTATGTATTCTAAAGCTTTTGTTAAATAAACAAAGATCTTTTATTTATTAAATTACTTGTTTACTTATACTTTAACTTATCTACTACTTATAACCTATCAGAAAATATTTTTAGTAGGCTAAAAATAGAATTTAACTTTTCGCCCCAGGGTGGGGCGAAAAGTTAAAAAAAACAAAATTTTCAAAAAAGGACAAAACATGTATTTTTTGCGAAAATATCAGGAACTTTTTTATTGAAAGTTGTAGAGGACAAGTTGCCCTACAATATTGATATACAAATATTTGCATCTAAGCGGCTTTTATTGCCAAAAAAAAATCATTTATGCAAAATTTAACTTTTCGCCCCAGTCTCCCCTACTTATAAATTCTATTAAACATTTCTTTCCTTCAATTATCAACATTTCAATGTATTCAATATAATATTTTTCGGATGAATACTAACAATTATTAGGGTAGGCGAACACTATTTTAAAAAAAAGTATTTTCTACACCTTTTTGTCTAAAAAGGCGATTTGTAATTAAATCTGATTTCTGAAAAAAGATTTTATAAAAAGTTATAATTTCTAATGTTTATTTTCCTAAAATTTCTAAAATTCCATAATTTTGATAAAAATTAGAAAATTGTTTAAAAATAAAGATTAAATTTTCTGTTTCTCAATTACAATTCTGTTTACAAAATTATAAGTTTCTTTTTGAAAATGAAGAAAAATTTTTATAAAATTACTATTTCTTATCACAATTTGTTAACAAAATTCTATTCTTCTTTGGAAAAAAATAATTTGCATCATTTTTACATTATTTTAAATTTCCAAAGTTAATATATTTATAAAAAATTTTTTTAGAAAATTTTAAATATCTTTAATGAAAAAATTCCTATAATTTGTTAATTACGATTTTTAACTAGATTATTTAAAAATTTTGTTAAGTAATTTGCATAATTTCTATTTTTTATTATAATTTTTTAACGAAATATCACTTATTGATCGTGATTACAAAAATAGAATATTGTTAGAAAAAAGAAAAATTTTGAAAATTACCTTTATTAGAAAAATAAATTTTTAGAAAATTAGCTTTATTAGAAGACAGAAAATTTCAAAATCACCTTTATTAGAAAAAAGTTTTTTAGAAATTCACCTTTATTAGAAAAAAAATTTTAGAAAATACGATTTAGAAAAACTAACTAACTAACTACCCCAACCATTATTAGAAACATAAGAATGAAAATTAAAATATTTGCAGAAATTATAATTTAAATCTTTTGAGTTTGAATTTTATTACATTTATATGAGCTTAAAAAATGTTTGAGGGATTTCATGAGAAAATTACATGTATAAAAATTACATTTGAAACTTGAGTTGAGTAGAGGCATGTTTTTTCACTTGGTAATTATATTTATTTTAATAACAGAAGCCATTAAAAAATCGCAAAAGGATCCAAGGCAAGAAAAGTAGTAATTTTGATTTTTCGAGGATTTTCTAAAAATCTCGGTATTTAAACTAAATTATAATTTCCACCCCTTGGCAGCAATTTTTTTCATTTGCTAATTATTTATTTTAATGTTAGAAGTCATTAAAAAATTTTTCAAGAAGATCGAAGGCGGGGAAAGCAGTAATTTTGATTTATTTTATATTTTAGGATTTCTGAAAAATCCGTAACAAAAAATAAAAATCACTGCTTTCCCCGCCTTCGATCTTCTTGCAATTTTTTTAAATGGCTTCTGAGGCGTGGAAATAATAATATAGTTGAAATACCGAGATTTTTTAAAAAATCATAACTATTGTAAACATGCAAGAATATAAATTGAAATTATTAAATTTTTTCTGTGGAAAGCAGGTAGGCAGATTGCTACCGTGATAATTCTTTAAATCATTCACGCGCGCGTAGGACTTTGCTAGTTAAGAATAATTTAAAAATTCTTTTGACGAATTTTAGTAAAATTTTTAAGAATAATGACATTTTTCGAGGAATTCTATTAAAATTGTATTAAAAATATTTGAAATTATGCAATGAGTTTTGTTATATTTATGAAAATAATTTAATTCTTAAAAAGAATTTTATTATTACGATAATAATTGAATCCCTGGAAAAATTTTATTATTTATGAAAATAATTGAACTAAATTAGAAGAAATTTATAGACAATTTGTAAATAATTGAATTCCTGTAAAATTTTTGTTATTTTATGAAAATAATGAAAGGTTTGCGTATAATTTTATTAAATTTTTTTTAAACTAATTAGAAGAAATTTATAGAAAATTTGTAAATAATTGAATTCCTGTGAAATTTTTGTTATTTTATGAAAATAATGAAAGGTTTGCGTAGAATTTTATAAATTTTTTTTTAATTTATGAATTCCTTTGGAAAATTTTATTAAAATAGTAGATATTAAAGTTATTGAATTGATGAAGATTTTTGAAAATAATTGAAATTTTGTCAAGAATTTTATTAATATTTTTGAAAATATTTGAATTTTGGAGAAGAATTTTTTTATTTATAAAGATAATAATTGGGATTTTGTCGAGATATTTTTGTGAATTTTGAACATTATTGAGTTTTGTGATAAAAATTGTATTACTTTTGAAAATAATTGAATTTCTGCAATCATTTGTAATTTCTCTAAAATTCTCCAAATTATATCGTACAATTTACGAACTTTTCATCTTTTCTCACTGAAATTACGGACCTTTTTTTGAAAAAACTGACTTTTACGGACTTGAAGCAAATTTACGGACCTAGTTCGAGCCCTGTTTTTTCCAAAAGAATTTAAATGAAAGGAAGCAAAATCGAAAAACTTACTCGTCCTTGAGGATTTTTGTCAGGATGATACATTTGCGCTAATTTATAATACGATTTTCGAACTATCGCTTCATTGTGTTGTTTACCATTTTGCAAACCAAGAACTTTGTAAGCTTCATCAATTGTCATAATTGGTGGTTTTTTTTCAACTTCTTTTTTCCAGGTATCAAGAACATCTTTTAATAACATAACCTGAAAACAAAATTTGTTAATTTTATTAAATAAATTTCTTCAAGATATTTCATTTATAATTTAGTAACAAAATTTTAATGATTTATAAAGTATGAAAACTTGCAGGTTTTGAAATTGGCCACTGAGGAAATTTAACAGTATCACAAAGATGTCGCAAATAAAATATTTGGCAAAATAATTCTTTCTCCAATTGAGGATATCTAATTGCAGGAATAGCAATATATTGATATCGCGCCATAGTGTGACTTCTTAATCTTGGAGAAAAGTCAGCAATATGTGCAGCAATTTTTTCAATAAGCATTCGCCGCATTTCTGCATTCCAGATAGCCTCTGGCGTATCAAAATCGCCTAAGAATATTTTAGCGAATTTCTCTGCTCCGTGATTTTCCAAATAGCTGACCATTGCGTCTGGTAAAAGCTGTCCAAGAATACTTTTTTGCATAATATCAGATTGCGTATTCTAAAACAATGGATAAATTTTTTTAATTTCCTTAAAATACATGTTGTTGAAGAAGAAATAAATAAATTAGAGTAAATAAATCATTATAGCAATAATAGTACAAAATGCAAATTTGTATATTTCACAAAGTTAGGTAAAAGGGATTTTCGTCTCTAAAAAAAATTTTAATCAGACTTTTTGGTCAAAAATTTTAAAAAAATCAACTTTTTTTATTAAAAATGTTCCCTAGTGTCATGAAATTATTGTCCAAAAAATTTTTTTTAGAAATACAAAAAAATTACAGGAAATCAGGGTTGCCAAAAAAATTTAATTTTGTTTTTCCCTGACTTTTCCCTGATTTCCAGAAAAAATTTTGACTCTTTCCATCACTCTGAAAAATATTTTGATTCACTCCAAAAATTATTAGATACTCAAAAAAATGTTCTATTACATTTATTTACGAATTGATTAAATTATAAAATTATTCAAAAACATCAAGAACTTCATTTTTAAAAAAATAAATAATTCCTTCATGTTTTATAATAAATCTAAGATGACAGAGTGATAAAATCATTATTTTATATCATAAGAATATTGTAATTATAAATTCAAATTTTCCAAGATTTTAATTTGAACCCTTTTCAAAATTCAATTATTTCTAAAAATTCACGCTATAATGCTTTTAATATTCAATTATAATTTAAAACTTTGGGTGAAATTCATTTTTAAATCAATTTTTATTAGAAGATTTTTCGAGAATTAAATTATTTAAGTACAAAAATACATAATTTATTAAATAATTGAATATTTCTTAAAATTTAATTTTTATGAAGAATTTTATCAAAATTTTTAAAAACAATTGAATTTTTTCGGCGAATTTAAAAAAATGTTAAGAATAAATGCTATTTTCTATCATTTTATTTAAAATTGTACAAAAAATAATTGAAATTCTGCAACAAGTTTTGTTATTTATGAAAATAATTGAATACTTGCAAAGAATTATATTAAACATTTTTTTTAAAGAATTGAATTTCTTTGGAGAATTTTATTTGTGAAAATAATTGAATTTCGGAAAAAAATATTATTATTTATGAAAATAATTAATTTTTTGTGAAGAATTTTATTAAAATTTTTTTAAATAATTGAATTGCCCTCAAAAATGTAGAATTTGTGAAAATAATTGAATGCTTAAGAAGAAATGTATTACAAATAATTGAATTGTTTAGGAAAATTTTAGCAATTTTATTAACTAAATCTTGTAAAGAATTTTGTCAACATTTTTTTAAATAATAGAATTTTTAAAAGAATTTTATTTAAATGTTTCGAAATAATTGAATTTCTTAGAACTATTTTTTTCAATTCTCTAAACATTTTTGAATTCTTTCGAGAAACTTCATTAAAAAATTAAAGTTCGAAGAAATTTATAAAAAATTGGTCAATTATTCGGAAATTCTTCAATTAAATATATATTAGAAAATAAAAATTTCAACTCATTTAAAAAAAATCCAATTAAACATTTTCAAAAAAATAAATTCTACAGAATTGTCAGTTAAAAGTAAAAAAAAATTCAAATTCCCAAAGATTTTAATTTGAAACGTTTTCAAAATTAAAGTATTTCTTAAAATTCACGCTATAATGCTTTTAATATTGAATTATTATCTAAAATTTCTTTTAAAAATCAATTTTTATTAGAAAATTCTGCGAGAAATCAATTATTTAAATACAAAAATAAATAATTTATGAATAATTGAATATTTTTGAAAATTGAATTCTTATAAAGAATTAAATTAAAATTTCTTAAAATAATTGTTTTTTTTCGAAAAATTTTAATAAAATTTATGAAAATAGTTGCATTTTTGTGAAAAATGCAAAGAAAATCGTATTTCAAATAATTGAATCCCTGTCAACATTTTATTATGTATTTATGAAAATAATTGAATTTCTGCCAAGAATTTTATTAAAATTATATTAAAAATAATTGAATTTATCTAAAGTATTTTATTTTTTGTGAAAATAATTGAATTCTTGAGAAGAATTTTATTATTCATTAGAATAATTGAATTCCTACAAATTTTTTCGACGAATGATATTAAAATTTTTGAAAATAATTTAATTTTCGCAAAGAATTTGATAAAAATTGTCTTAAACGATTGATCCTTGTTGAAAAAATTTTATAAAAGTTATCATATTTAAAAAAAAAATTCCAGCGAACATTTTTTAAGTTTTGAAAATAATTCAATTTTCTTATCTTGTAGAATTTTATTAAAATCATGTATATTCAAAATAATTGAAATTATTTACAGAATTTTATTACTTATGAAAATAATTGAAATTTTGCTAAGAATTTATTAAAATTGTATAATTTGTAACTTCTCCAAAATTTAATGTTTCAAATCGATGGCCCCAAGCTATTTCATACTAACTCGCCCGCGAGTTAGTATGAAATAGCTCGGGGCCATCGAAATGTTTTTTTACTAAAATTCTTCTATAAATGAATTATTTTTAATAATTAATTAAATTAAATTAAAGTAAATTAAAACATTTAACTAATTTCAGAAGAATTTGAATTATTACAATTTTTTAAAAATCTAAATTCTTTAGAATTTCTAATTAAATTCATTCAAAATTGAAATTTTATAAAATTATTCATTAAGTAATTTATAACTTATAATTTTATGATAGTTTTTGAAGAATTAAATTATTTAAAAATAAATTATTGTCAGAAGTAGGGTTTTTTATAAGAATTCGTGGTAATTTCGTAGTTTATATTTGTCAAACAAAAAAGAGATCAGAATTTAGAATTTTCTTATGAATTCTAAAAATTTAATTTTTTCTTTTACTTTTAATAAAAATCCCTGACTTTTCCCTGAATTCCTTGACTTCCCTGACCTGTGTCAACCCTGAATAACATTTTAAAAAGTGATTTTTTTTACTAATTCTAAACCAGGAAGTTCTCAAGTAATTTCATTATTTTGTCCCGCGTAAGAAACAGGTGAATTTTTGTTTCATTACTAAATAAAAATAAAAATACATTTGTAACTTTGTTATGATTTCCAATATTAAAGGGGAAAAAATCTACTTGAAAAAATGAAAAGAAGAAAATGTAAGAAAAGTAACGTTACTCACGTCATCACCTCTGAACGCTTGCTTAGTGTGTGTCAATTGCAAAAATCTGGCGACAGGTAAAACATTGGATCCAGTATACATGAGAATAAAATAAAAGACACCTGTTAAGTAAATCTTTGATATTTCAGGATTGTCCTTTAAAATTTCACAAAGCAAGGTGGCGACTTTCTCAACCAAAACTGGATCGAATGTCAGCAAGAGTTGAACTAAATGTGGCAAACACTGCGGATCAGACAACAATCGTTTGACGTGAGGCAAGGGCCTGATAATTGCGTTGTCCACATCTCGACTTGGAAAGTATTCGCACATTTTTATCAAAATATTTAAAATTAAAGTGGCTAATTCACTTTCGTTTATCACAGGAGTTCCTTTAGCAACCAAAGTCCACTTGAGTTGCGGCACTTGTGCTATGATTCGCCAGCTGTCTAAAGCTTGGGCCCAAACTTTCGTTTTATAAGTAATCTTCCCCGAAATGTAGAGATCCTTTAAATCCTTCAAACGAAGTGGTCCTTTTCGTTTATCGCCATCATTGTAATACCATTCTTTCTCCGCCGAACGCTCTTGATCGGGACCAGCTTCTATTACATTAGTCTGTGTGGGAACAACAGCCCTGGATGTGTGTAAATGAGCTAAAGTTAATAGATCTATGAGCACCCGCACACCATTTTGATCCAAAATATCTTTTACGTTTCTTCTATGAAGAATGAGCTTGCTTATAAACATCACTAGTCGGTCGCGTTCCATTTTATCGGAACAACGTTCCAACATTCCAACAATGTATTTTGTATCAGAAAAAGGTCCAATGTCTTCGTAGTAACGACCATAAACTATGGCCATTGCTTGTAGACAAAGACATTTCATTTCCACCTTATTCGTCAATAAAAACCTGTGATATAAATCATTGAAAAACTCATACCTGCGTGAAAAAAATACTTTTCGTTAAAAAATTTAATAAAGTAATAATAATCAAAATTTCTGAACTGGGACACAAACTTTTTAAATTTTCATTATATACATAATTTGTTTTACAAAAAAATTAATTTTTCAATTATTATATACTGGCAAATGATACGCGCGGAACGCGGAATTCCGTTTATTATTATTTTGTAAATTAAAAAACTTTATATTTTCAAGAATATCAGGGCGGATAAAAATCATTTTTTATACTATTTTTTTGTTCGTTTTTTTAGTATTAAAAATTATAAAATTGATAATAATAGGGTGGCTGCAAAATTTCATTTTAGAATTCTCTGACATTTCCTGACTAATTTTTCGTTTTCCCTAATTAACAAATTTTTAAATTATTTAATATTCTGCATTGATAATTAAAAATTTAATAATGCTTTTTAAGTAACAATTTTATTTATAAAGAAAAAGATAAGATAATTAAAAGTTGTTGGTTAAAAAATTTTTTAATGTCTTTAAAAAACTAAAATGACATAATTATCAAAGTTTTTTACTTTCTGGTTACTTTTGATTAAAATTCCCAGACTTATGAAGAATTTTTAAAAATTCCCTGACTTTTTCCTGACTAAAAGAAATCTCTGATTTCCAGTTTTTTCCTAACTTGTGACCATCCTGAATAAAAAATACATTTATATAAATTCTTGTTATAATAAAATAGGTTTTAAAAACTTTAGGAAACTGTAACAGAATACTGATATTTAATGCTTCTTTAGCTCAAATATAAAATACTGATTTCTTATCTTTCAATAACTTCAGTCAAATAAACAAAAACTAATAATTGTGATATTCTGATATTCATTATATTATCTTTGTAACATATTATTTTTTATTTTTTTGAATTCAAAACTTTAAACAGAAATACTAATTTTGCAGCCTTTTCGGTTCCTATTGCATTTTGATTTAAATCATTGCAGCCCTGAAGAAATACATCAATTTTTGAATGATTATACAGATTTAAAATTTAAAGAATTCACTCATAAGTACATAATATTAAATATTCTTGTTTATTATTATTCAAAAATTTTAATAAAAGTTGTGGCAAAAAATTTCATTATTCTCATGAATAATAAAATTCTTTAGAGCAATCCAATTATTTTCATTACAATTTTAATAAAATTTCTAGAAAGAATACAATTATTTTTAACAATTTTGATGAAATTCTTTTTAAAAAATCATTATATTTTCATAATTTTTCATAAAATTCAATTATATTCAAAAATTCAGCTATATAATTCTTCGAAACAATTAAATTATTTTTATGAATTGTAAAATCTTCCCTAAGAATTCAATTATTTTAATAAATAAAAAAATTCTTCTCAAGATTAAAGATATTTTAATAAATAAGAAAATTCTTCTCAAGATTTAAAATATTTTCATAAATAATAAAATTCTTCAAAGGAATTCAATTATTTTCATAAATAATAAAATTCTTCAAAGGAATTCAATTATTTTCAAAAATAATAAAATTCTTCGCAGAAATTCAATTATATTCAAAAATTAAAAAAATGTTTTGGAGGAATTTAAAAACTCTAATAAAATTGTTTAAAAGAATTTAATTTTCTATGAATAATTTTAATATAATTTAATAGGAAAATCGTTAACTAATTACAATTAATAATAAACACGATTATTTTAGAAACTTAAAAGAAATTTTTCTTGAAATTCAATTATTTTTAAAATTTTCAGTAGAAATTATTATAAAAAACTTCATTATTTCCAAGAAAATTGAAATAAATACTTCAAAACAATTCAATTATTAAAAACAAGAATTTGAATCAAAATCTTGCCAAGAATTAAATTATTTTTAATACAATTTTAATTACATTTTCTCGAAAGAATTCAATTATTAAAAACAAGAATTCAATGATTTTCAGTAAATCGACCATTTAATTATTTCTGAAAATAATTGGATTCTTGAATAGAATTTTATTAAAACTTTTTTAAATAATTGAATCCCTGCGAAAAAATTTATTATTTCTACAAATAATTGAATTTTTGTAAAATTTAAAAAAATAAGTGAATTTTTGAGAAGAATTTTATTAAAATTGTATTTAAAATAATTGAATTCCTGCGGAAAATTTACTATTTATTAAAATTATTGAATTCTTTCGAAGAATTTAAAAAAAATGTTCAAAAATAATTTATTTTCCCTGGAATTCAATTAAAATTGTATTTAAAATAATTGAATTCCAGCGAAAATTCAATCATTTTTCAAAATAATTGAATTATGTATTTGCCCAATTTTCAAAGGTACTAAAATTTTTTTTTGTAAATTAAAGTGTAAAAAACATAGATTATTGTAGTTTTTGAATTTTTTTCGTAACTATTCCAGAAGTCATTTAAAACCTTATTTGTTTAATTAACAATTTATTTTGCATAAATAATCATGAATTTTTAAAAATTTTGTTATTAATAGAGGCATTATTTTTGTATATCACTATCAAATATTATTTAATTTTATCAAAAAACAACTAAGCAATAGTGAATTTTCTAAAAAGGTTCTTTAAAGTTTAATTGTTTATAACTAATTTGAAAAATTAAAATTTTTGAAAACGCATTTCGGGAATGTTTTTCTACCATCCGGCTGTAATAAATTATATATAGACAGAATGTAAATTTAAAAAATTTGTTTTTGTTGGTCCAGTTCTGAAATTCTGACTCAATAATGTCGCCATCGAATAAAGAAAAAAATTACGATTTTCTAATTGGATTATCGGGACTATCCTTCTCCAACAATAATCGTAAATAATAATCTCCAATTTTCACTTCATCCGACAAACACTGGTATTGCACTTCGAATTCCCGATGATTCCAAGCAATTAACATCCCACCAGACAAATCTTTATCGGTTGAAAATGCTCGGATTTCGTTTTCTAATGATGTTCTCAATTCTTCTCTTGTTTTATGATTCCAAATGAGATTCGGCAATGCGTGATCTTGATTGAATTTATAATAAAACAATTTCCAGTTGGCTTCGGATTTTATTCTTTCTCTTCGTTTTCTCAAAACAATTGGTCTCTCCTTTATTTTTTCTTTACGCTCAAAACCAATGCGAGTGCCCCAATGTTGAAAAACATTTTCCACTTGTTTCTCAAAAACACGCACTCGCCGTTCAAACGCTATCCACTGAGGACTTTTCATGTTTTTCGCCGCATGATCAATGGCAATTTTTAAATTGTCACGATTATTCAATCTTTCTTCCTCTAAAAAAGAATCGGGAACTTTTTCTTCAGAGTCAAGGTAACTCAGTAATCCAATAGGCTTAAAAGAATGATAAATTATTAAGTAAGCTATCTAAATACTATTCGATTAAGAAACATTACAAAATAAGCAGAATTAAATATTTAGAATCAAAAAATAAATTTTTAAATAGAAATATAAAATAAAAATTAAATTATTGTTTATTAGAAATTGAATTTATGTATTCAAACTTTTGTGTACCATGATTCTTTTGAGTAAGCCCATTGCTACTGGATGTCCAGTGATCCATAAACCCACTAAATGCCTGCAAAGTTGTCTGTGAGCTAATAATCGACTGTCACTTCCAACAGTGAATAAACTATTTAAAAGATGTCTCGGTAAAGCTCCTTCAGCAAGAGCTAATTCTTGCATTTTCGCTGCCATCTCTTGAGGTCCTTCTTCAATAATTGCTCTCATAATTAAACCTGCCCCTTTGACAATAGCCAAAGAAGGATGCTGAAATAATTTAAATAACGATCTACCGCTTGACGCTACCATTTCCAAAAGATTATCAAAATGCTTGCCATCAGTAGTTTCGCTGTACGGAATGCACAACGCAAAAGTCAAAAGATCAAGCATAGCGGAAACTACGAGAGCACCAGTTCCGTGATTCTAAAACCAAAATTTCCATTAATATACATGACAATACTAAAAATAGATATAATAATACTAATAATAATAATAATAATATATTTATTTCATTATATTGCTTTCTCGTTAGAAGTTTCCTCATGGAGAAAGCATTAAAATTTTTTTTTATTTTTTCTTATCGATTTATGCAATATTTGCTAAACTTTTTTTTATAATTATAATCCGTCAAATCTTGAAAATTTTCTAAAACTTTTTAATTATATTAAACAAATTTTCCTATGTGTGTTAAAGACTTACACAAAAACAACAAAAAACAAATGTCAATTTTAAAAATAATACGAAGGATTAATTTTATGAATTTCCAATAAAATCTATATTTTATGTGACCATTCGATTATTTATAATGTAAAAAAATTTAATTCTATAACAACTAAAATTTTTAGTGTAAAAAAATTTTTGGTACAAAAGTCACAAAGACAATTTGTGAGTATTTTGCAAACTTCGCACTTGATAATTAATTTTAAAAAAGTAGCAAAAAGTAGTTTTCAAACTAAAAAAAAAATTAGTAAAAAAGTAGCTATCGAAAAATTAAACTTTGACGACAAAAAAAAAACTCGTTTTAGACACTTTACAAAACTGACAAAAATTACATTCTACATTTTATATTTTCCTGACTTTTTCCTAATTTTCATCAAAAATATTTACTTCTTTCTTATCCTGATGATAAATAATTGAATTCCTGTAACGAATTTTATTATTCATGAAAGAATTTAAATATTTATAAAAATAATTTAATTTTTACGAATTTAAATAATTTAATTCCTGGGAAATTTTTATTATTCATGAAAATAATTGAATTCTTACGAAGATTTTTACAAAAAAATTTTAAATAATTCAATTCTGCTTGGAAATTTTATGACAATCGTAGATATTGTAAATCATTGAATTGCGAAAAGTTTTTAAAAATAATTAAATTTTACAAAGAATTCTATTAAAATTTTTGACAATAATTGAATGTCTGTGTGGTATTATATTAAATTTTTTTTAAAATAATTGAATTCTTGCGAACGATTTTATTAGAATTTTTTTAAATAATTGAATTTCCAAGAAGAAATTTATTAGTTTTAAAAATAATCGAATTCTTGTGATAAATATTATTATTTATGAAAATGAATTTAGCAAAGAATTTTATTAAAATGCCTAAAAACAATTGAATTTTCGGGAATAATTTTCTTCTTTCGAAGAATTATTTATGTAAATAATTGAATTATATCTTTAAAAAATTTAATTAAAATTGTATTTAAAATAATTGATTCTTTTCGAACAATTTTATTAAAACATATGAAAATAATTGAATTCCTGTGAAAAATTCTAATATCTTTGTTAATAATTGAATTCTCACTAAGAATTAAAAAAAACATTTTTTTAAATAGGTAATTGATTTTTTCGTGAAATTGTCATTCAATTTTTAAGAATAATTACATTTTTTGATCAATTCTGTAAAATTGTATTAAAATTAATTGAAATATACGATAAATTTTATTATTTATAAAAATAATTGATCAGTTGCTAAGAATTTTATTATTTATGAAAATAATTGAATTATTGCGAAAAATTTTATTTAAATGTTTAAAAAGAATTGAATTTATGTGAAAAGTTTTGTTACTTTTTAAAATAATTGAATTCTTCATAAGAATTTTATAAACATTGTTTTAAATAATTAATTTTTTTGGAATATAATAAATATTATGAACATTTTATTTTAAATAATTGAATTCTTGTGGAAAACTTTATTTGTGAAAATAATTAAATTTTTCGATTAATTAATTTAAAATAGTATTAAAAATAATTGAAATTCTTCGACGAGTTTTATTATTTATGAAAGTAATTGAATTATTGCTTAAAATTTTTTTTAAAATTTGAATTTCCATGAAAAATGTTTTTATTAGTGAAAGTAATTGAATTATTGTGAAGAATTGTATAAAAATTTTGTTAAATAATTTTTTTTTTGAAATTTTTTTGTTAATGCTTTTCTAAATTAATTGAATTCCTGTGGAAATTTTATTATTTATGAAAATAATTGAGTTTTGGATGGATTTTAACAATTTTTTTTTAAATAATTGAATTCTTTGGTTTTAGTGGCTGAAATCTAAAAAAGTATCCAAATAGCAGAATAACGTAAAAAAGTAGTAAATAGTAGGTTTTAGTAAATGAGTGCGAAGCCTGATTTAAAAATTTTTTAAATTTAGAAGCCAAAATTGAAAAAAGAAGACAATAGGGGAAAAGGGGATCAACTGTGATGGTTGCGTATTTGCAAACGCTTTCTTGACACCTTGGGGGTACTTGGGATACACATATATATAATTTTGGACATTTCATCAAGAACTCATTAGTTATGTAACATTTCTAAAAAGAAAATTTGTCTAGAATATTTTAAAAAAATTTTAAATTGAAGAATTACAAAGCTTTCTCCATGAAAAAGTAATAAAAATTATAATAATAATACACGGAAAAGTTTTTAGGTGAGTTGCTGTAACAGCAACTTGCCTCAAAACTTTTCCGTGTAATAATAAAAATAATAATACAGTGTTACAAAGAATATCATTAAAATATAAGTCTGAATTTCGAGATTTGTTCATGTGCTGGTAGTTTGCCTCAACATCAACAAATGAGGCCTTGGATCCAATAACTCGCCCGACGCTCGAAGACACGCGCTAATACCAGTCGGGTAGCAGTGAGTGGCCCAGAGGCGCTCACTGCTCACTGACTGGCAGTTGCGCGTACCTCCGAGCGTCGGGCGAGTTATTGGATCCAAGGCCTCAAATGTTTTTCAACAAGCATTTATTTGAAAATATAAAAAAATATTTAGGTTTATATTAGTAATAAATTACATTTCCAATTTTCATTATTAAAATAAAGAAATCAAAATCAAGGAAAAAATATAAAATTTAAAGAGCATAAACCTACCTAAAACGGTGTTTTGCTCTAAAATGAGATTTTTGAGGGTGCATCGAAAATATGAAATACACCATTCTTTTTAATTTTTCATTAATCTACATCACTCATTAATGTATGATGAAAGTAATTTTTGGTATAATTTCTTTTTTGTAACACTGTGTAACAATAATAAAAATGGAATAACAAGACATTCTAAATAAAAAAAATAAAGATATTCTTACAATGTGACTAAGCCACATATCCAAAAGACTTTCCAAAAATTTGTTATTACTTAAAAGGCTACTCTTATTCAACTGTTCTTGTCGTAAATCACAATCATCATGCATAGGTTGCATCAGAGCACATATACAGTCGATTGCTGCTTGTGTCACTCCCCAATCCTGTCTTTTTAAAGCTTTTACCACTCTGCCACCAATCGCTTCTCTGAAACCCGGCATACTTGTAAAAGCTGCAAATCCAACTTTACTTGCTATCAATCGCCTGATGGCGTGAAATTGTGCTTCCATCTCATAAGTAGTTTCCACTTCTTTGTTAACCAAGGAATTCAGTGCACTGAGAATTAATTTATCTTTGTTCTCCGTAAAAAGTCCTCCCTTAAAATAAAGTAAGTGTTTTCATTAACTCAATTATCACAATTTTTTCCTTTTCCAAATAGGTTTTATAAAACAAGTTATTATTTATAAATTAAACCAAATAAATTTTTCTTATTAAAAAAAGAATTTAAAATTTTTAAAATTTCAAATTTTTTAAAGATGAATATTAGAAAAATAGGGAGAAAACGATTAAGAAAAGTGCAGTGCAAAAAATAAATAAATAATAGCATTTTGCTTTATACTTTCAATAAATGATTTATGGGTTTTTGTTGAATCTAATATAGATCTTGAAAACACTTGAAATTTACATTTTCTCAAAATAAAACATTTTTTTATTCTTTTCCAAGACGTGGGACCCCAATAATTTTTTTTTGAAAAATGATCATTTTACATTCAGAAACTAGTAAACAGGGTTGCCACAAAAATTTAATTTTGTTTTTTCCTGTCTTTTCCCTGATTTCCAGAAAAAATTTTGACTTTTTCCCTGACCCTGAAGAATATTCTGATTCACTCCAAAAATTATTAGATACTCAAAAAAATGTTCTATTACTTTTATTTACGAATCTCTTTAATTGTACAATTATTCGAAAACATCAATAACTTCTTTTTTGAATAAATATTTAATCATTATTATTTTTCTATAGGAATTAAGATTTTGAAATTCAAACCTTCTGAAATACAATAATAAATTTAAAATGACAGAGTGATAAAATCATTATTTTATATCATAAAAATATTGTATTCTATAAATTCAAATTTTCAAAGATTTTAATTTGAACCCTTTTCAAAATTCAAGCTATAATGCTTTTAATATTCAATTATAATTAAAAATTTTAAGTCAAAATAAATTCTTTCGGCGAATTTAAAAAAAAAATTTTAGAATAAATGCAATTTTCTATCATTTTATTTAACATTGTACAAAAAATAATTAAAATTCTGCGATAAGTTTTGTTATTTATGAAAATAATTGAATTCTTGCAACGAATTTTATTAAACATTTTTTTAAAGAATTGAATTCCTGTGAAGAATTTTATTTGTGAAAATAATTGAATTCCGGAGGAAAATATTATTATTTATGAAAATATTTAATTGCTTGTGAAGAATTTTATTCAAATTTTTTTAAATAATATTGAATTTCCCAGATTTTTTTAAAGACTTTTTAAAAATAATTAAATTCTATCGAGAAATTTCATTAAAAAATTGAAAATAATTGAAATCTGACGAAGAATTTTATTAAATTTTTTTTTAAATAATTGAATTTCTGTAAAAATGTTTATTTTTGAAAAAAAATTGAATTATTGAAAAAATTTTATTAAAATTTCTTAAATAATTGAATTGCTTCGAAGAATTTTATTTTTTACGAAAATAATTGAATTGTTTCGAAGATTTTGACAAATATTTTTGACAATAATTGTATTCCTAGAAAGAATGTTATATTTTGCGATAATAATTGTATTCTATGATCAATTTTTTTAAAATAATTTTTCAAACTTATAAAGCATTTTATCAAAATTTTTAAAAATAATTGAATTTTCGAGAAAAATATTATTATTTATAAAAATAATTGATTTCTTGCGAAGAATTTTATTCAAATTTTTTTAAATAATTGAATTCCCATAAAAAATGTATTATTTGTGAAAATAATTGAATACTTAAGAAGAATTGTATTGAAAATAAATGAATTGTATAGGAAAATTTTATTAAAATTGAAAAAATTTTTCAACTATATCTTGTGAAGAATTTGTTCAACATTTCTTTATGTAATAGAATTTTTAAAACAATTTTTTTTTTTTAAATTTTTCGAAATAATTAAATTTTTTAGAACTATTTTTTTTAATTCTCTGAAAATATATTTGAATTCTTTCGAGAAACTTCATTAAAAAATTAAAAATAATTGAATTGGTTCGAAGAAATTTATAAAAAATCAGTAAGTAATTGAATTCCTGTGAAATTTTTATTTAAATTTTGTTTAAATAATTGAATTCTTTTGGAAAATTTTATTAAAATAGTAGATATTAAAAATAATTGAAATGAGGAAAATTTTTGAAAATAATTGAAATTTTGCCAAGAATTTTATTAAATTTTTTGAAAATAATTGAATTTTGGAGAAGAATTTTATTATTTATAAAGATAATTGAAATTTTGACGAGAATTTTTTTAAATTTTTGAACATAATTGAATTTATGCGAAAAAGTTGATCACTTTTGAGAATAATCAAATTTTTGTAATCAGTTGTTCTTAAAATTTCTATTAAAATTCATTAAAAATTGATATTTACCAAAATTTTAAATTGAAACCTTTGAAGTTCATCTATTTATGAAGATTGTAAACGCAACTCTTTTGAAATCCAATTAATTTTGAAATTTTTGAGTAAAATTATTTATTGAATAATTTCTAAGTAATAATTGTATATGATAGTTCTTCAAGAATTAAGTTATTAAAAAAGAAATCATTGTCAGAAAAAGAAAAAATTGAAGGTTTTATATCAGAATTCTTGGCAATTTCATAGTTTATGAGGCAAACAAAAAAGACTCCGAAATTTAGAATTTTCTTATAAATTCTAAAAATTAAATTTTTTCCAGTACTTTTCATAAAAATCCCTGACTTTTCCCTGAATTTCCTGACCTGTGGCAACCCTGGTAAAAATTGAAAGAAAAAAACGCTGGGGTTTTTGAGAAAATTCGATTTTCATTTTTACAGAAAAATTGCCACCATTTTGTTAAATTTCAACATTGTTTAATTTAACTTGTGGGTTTTAAAAGAGCATATAAGCCACGATTAAGGATTTAACTTCGTTACATAATTTTTTTCTGCAAAACAAAGAAATACGGGTCGTTTAAAATTGTCTGAAAAACAATACATTTCCAATGAAAAATGATTTTCTGAATTAACTGTACATAGCCTGTTTGAATTGAAATAGAATCGACCGTTATTAAAAAAAACACATTGGAGAAAACCCTCGGCTGGATCAAACTCCCCCAAAATACGTAGAGTTAAAGATATACTTAAGATTAAACAATCTTTTAAAATTCTATTAGTTTTATAACACCTTCAACTGACTAAAAATCTTGATCTGCAAAGTTATAAGAATGAAAATAATTTTTATATAAGTACAGTAAGAAAGTTGTGTTAATGTTGTTCCAAAAATATGAAATTATGTAATTCTATTCAGTAAGAAAACTTTTAATTAATATCAGAACAAGTTTTTGTATATTAATAATTTTTTTTAAATTCATACCTCTTGCGTTATGAATCGAAGGCCACTGTAGGGAATGTTTGCGTTAAACCTTTCTAAGACTTCAGCAAAACTTTTGCCACCTGGTAATTGTTGAAGGAACTTGACGTGATTGTTTTCCACTTCCTCCTCCACTGGAATATTAAAAGGTCCTAATCTCTTTCCACGAGCAATGGAAAACATTCTAATGTGAACGTCTCTATTGCCTGATGCTCGAACGCCATCAAGTAAAGATGCCAGTAAGGAATCTCTGTCGGTTGCTATATAACTACGAATCTGGCCATTCACATATTGAATTGAAAATAATTGAGGATTCATCTGATCGCGAATTAGAGCAAAAACGTCTGATAATGGTCTCAATGTACATATACTATAAGTTTGTGGATCTCTCTCTAAAACACACGTGTCCGATAAACAAAGTGTCCTTCTTTGGGGATCTAAATGCCGTGGGGAATTTTTATGTACAGTAAATTCAGAGACACTTGTTATATGTTCGTCTCCACTGAACTTGCCAAATCTTTGAGAGACAAAATCGTCCAACTGAATCGGCTCTTTTAAGACTTTTATGCTAATACCCAAATTGTTCGATGAGCTTTCTAGTAACTTTTTCTTAATCTCTTCCATATGTTCCGATGCGAATAAATGTAAGCGGCCAAAGCCACCATAAACTATTACGAAACCATTTGGATAATCTTTCACGGAAGCCAATCCTTCAAAATCTTTGTAGCAGTAACTTGCCAAAATCATATTTGTTGCAGGATCCAATTGGTCGAGACTGAAAGAAGTAACTTCTAAAACTACTGGCAATCTTGTGTCCGACCAATGATGCTTGTAGGCTGAAAATTTCTGAAATCAAAAAGCTTCACTTTACTTCAAGGTCTTAAAAATCTAATGCGAATAGTTTCGGTAAAAACAAATTTCAAATTTCGCACTCGATAATTAATTTCAAAAAAGTAGTAACAAGTGGCTTTCAAACTAAAAAAAAGTAGTAAAAACGTACCTATCGAAACATTAAACTTGACGACCAAAAAAACTAGTTTTCGACACTTCACAAAACTGACAAAAACTCCATTCTATATTTTATTTCCCTGACTTTTTCCTAATTTCCATCAAAAATATTTACTTCTTTCTTATCCTGCTAATAATTTAAATTCCAGCAACGAATTTTATTATTCATCAAAGAATTTAAATATTTATTATTAATTTCTTGATCAAAGGTCACAACAAAAAAAACTCCAACGATTATAAAAAGGACTATAATATATTTAAAAACTTAATTTAAATATTTATAAAAATAATTTAACTCTTGCGAAGAATTTTATAAAAATTTTAAAGAATTGATTTTTTTCGACTAATTTTATGCAAATTCTAATTTAAATAATTAAATTCCTGAGAAATTTTTATTATTCATGAAAAGAATTGAATTCTTATGAAGATTTTTACAAAAATTTTGTTAAATAATTGAATTCTGTATGGAAATGATATGATAATAGATATAGAAAATCATTGAATTGCAAAAAGTTTTTAAAAATAATTAAATTTTACAAAGAATTCTATTAAAATTTTTGACAATAATTGAATGTCTGTGTGTCATTATATTAAATTTTTTTGAAAATACACTACCGTTGGGAATTATCGATACGGCTGCACGCGCACGGCCAAAAAACAAATGTCAGAAAATTAACAAATATACCATTCGAAAGATTATTAAATTCTACGATTAATGATACATGATTGAAAATTTTAATAATTTATACAAAGATTGCAGCAATCGATAAATTTGACAAAAAAATTTGAAAATAAAATTGTTTTGGAAATTTTTTCAACCCCTGCATATTTTTTAAAAATTGTAGAAAAAATTTGAAACTTACATAGGTGTGATCATTCAAGTCTAATATTTAATTTAAGACCAAAAGGGTTCCAAAATCTTAATCGGTCAGCGAGATATCATTATAAACGACCGAGCATATTTTTTTACAAATGAGGCATTTCACGTCAGAAATATCACGATTTGCAAAGGGTCTGCCGATTTTCGCAAAACTTCGTGGGATTATAGTTCTATATAAGAGACTTCTTTCCCCCAAATTTTTTTTAAAAAAATTCAAAATTGTTGAAGATACGCCATTTTGAATTTTAATATTAATTTTATAAAATTTTGAATTTCTCGAAATATTGTTTATGGATTTTTATGAAATTTACACATTTTTCAGGTAAAAGTATGTACTTTAAAATGCAAATAAAGTTAATAAAAAAAATTCATTTTTAATTAAAAAAATTAAAAAAAATTTTTTTAAAGAATTTTTTGTTTATTTACTCCTCTCTGAGAAAATTGTTATTAACATATTTGGATTCCTTATGAATTCACCTTTAATTTCATAAAAAAAAATTGATGGAGACTCAACTGGTTCCGGAGATATTGAATTTTTTGTAAAAAATTGTCATAGTTACAGAAGCAATGCACGACTGCGGTAACGTACTACGCGACTTGTGCAGTATGGTGCTATGGCGCGGCGACGCTTTTTTTTACAAAAAATTCAATATCTCCGGAACCAGTTGAGTCTCCATCAATTTTTTTTATGAAATTAAAGGTGAATTCACAAGGAATCCAAATATGTTAATAACATTTTTCTCAGAGAGGAGTAAATAAACAAAAAATTGTTTAAAAATATTTTTTTAAATTTTTTTATTTAAAAATTAATTTTTTTTTATTAACTTTATTTGCATTCTAAAGTACATACTTTTACCTGAAAAATGTGTAAATTTTATAAAAATCCATAAACAATATTTCGAGATATTTAAAATTTTATAAAATTAATATTAAAATTCAAAATGGCGTATCTTCAACAATTTTGAATTTTTTTTTTTTAATTTGGGGGAAGGAAGTCTCTTATATAGAACTATAATCCCACGAAGTTTTGCGAAAATCGGCAGACCCTTTGCAAATCGTGATATTTCTGACGGGAAATGCCTCAAATACATTGAATTAGTCGATTTTGAACGGTTTTTGGCTGAAAATGCTCGGTCGTTTATAATGATATCTCGTTGACCGATTGAGATTTTTGAACTCTTTTGGTCTTAAATTAAAGATGAGATTTGAATGATTACACCTATATAAGTTTAAAATTTTTTCTGCAATTTTTAAAAAATAGGGTAGTTGCACCAGTGAAAGAATTGACACCAGTAAAAGAACAAATTGATTATTTATCACGATATTTCACAAATTATAACTTTTATCACATAAAAACATATTTTTTAGTTGGGTCAGAATTTCTCAAACGGATCACCTAAAACTAAAAAATTTTCTTTTTGAACCAAAATAGTTTTTTTTGACGCTTAATATGGCTAAGAAGAATCCCTAAAAATATTAAGCCAACAAAATTTTTTTTGTAAAAGTTATTAACAATTGAATTTTTTAGTACTGCTAAATTAACAAATTTTTTTCTCGAGTTCCAGTTGACGGATTTTAAAATTAAAATATGGGGTTTTTTTGTCTTGAATTGCACTATTTGAATATATTTTTTGTTTTTAAATTTTTTTATTTTTTATAATTTTTTATATAATTTGTTTATAAAATGTTAATAAACAAATATGTTCTTCACGTCCTAACAAAAAAATTAAAATTGTATTCTATTCCTTAAATGTCTCCGAGTCTAAAACCGTTTCGAAAAAAAATGAGCCTCAATTAGAAAAAAAGTTATTAATTAAAAACTGCAGCTGTGTAGAGCTTTACATGACGTTAAACTCGCTCCGCGCACATTGGCGTTTTTTACAATTTACTGTTCAAAATTGCCTGTAACCTACAGATTTTATCGGATTTGCATGGGCTTGGTCTTAAATTAAAGGGGATAAAATTTCTAAGAGATCCCACTAAACCAATTTTTGAATTTTAAATTGTTTATATTTTTTTTGTTACTCAAAGTTAACAATTTACAATATTTTTAGAAAAAATCATGTTTATTTTTTTATTTTTTTATTCCAGATGATTGGAATCAATTTAAATTAGTCCAGTATGACCACCAGACAAATAATAATGTATAATACAATTTATTTAAATTGTTGCAAACAATGTTAATTAACAAATAGATAACTTTAGATCTTTTTTATAAAAAAAATTTTTTTTTGCAGACAAATTTATGTTTATTTAAGTAATCTATGTCGATTTTAGTAAAAAATTATTTTGAATTTAAAAATTATTATTATTGTTTTTGACAATTATTATGAACTATAATCAAGGTTCTTTAACATTTGTAAACGTCCGAGCATGTTTTTTGACAAATGCATTGAATTAGTTAATTTTGAACGATTTTTGGCTGAAAATGCTCGGCCGTTTATAACTACAGTAGAGACTCCATTATCCGGATTAATGGATGCTGGCACTTGTCCGGATAATCAAAAATCCGGATAATCGAGTAAAGTACGAATTAAACAAATTTTTGATTCATAATTTTATGTATTTATTTGCATATGTATTAAAATAAGACTGAAACAAACTAAAACTTTTAAAGTCAACATTAATAAATATTTCAAAATATTTACATAAACATTTTCTTAAAATAATTAAAACACTTTAAAACGCAACATTTCGTGTAAATAAATTTAAAATAAAAGTTAATTAACGGCTTGAGACCTTATAAACTTTATATTAAAAAAAAAATTTTTATTTTAAATTTGTCCGGATAATCGAATATCCGGATAATGGAGTCTCTACTGTATATCTCGCTAACCGATTAAGATTTTTGAACTCTTTTGGTCTTAAATTAAAGATGAGACTTGAATGATCACACTTATGTAAGTTTCAAATTTGTTCTACAATTTTTAAAAAATGTGCAGGGGTTGAAAAAATTTCCAAAACAATTTTATTTTCAAATTTTTTTGTCAAATTTGTCGATTGCTGCAATCTTTGTATAAATTATTAAAATTTTCAGTTATGTATCATTAATCGTAGAATTTAATAATCTTTCGAATGGTATATTTGTTAATTTTCTGACATTTGTATTTACAAAAAAATCGTGATTTAAAGATTGGTATGTTTTTGGGCCGTGCGGTAGTGTAATTGAATTCCTAAACAGCATTTTATTATTTATGAAAATAATTGAATTCTTGCTTATAATTTTATTAAAAATGTTTTTAAATAATTGAATTTCCATGAAAAATATTATTATTTGTAAAAGTAATTGATTTACAATGCAATATGTAGCTGCCTTAATGAAAACGAATATTGGAACGTGTGTAAGACAAGGAAAAAAAGGAATATTTGTCCCAGAGTGTGCAGTGGGATATCTCATAAAAAAAATTTCTTCCTTTTGTAATATTTACAATTTCCCTGACTAATTAAAAAATTTCCTGACTTCCAGGTTTTCTCCGACCAGTGGCCACCATTCAATGAATTATTGTGAAGAATTGTATATAAATTTTGTTAAATAATTGATTTTTTCGAAATTTTTTTGAAAATGCAATTCTAAATTAATTGAATTTCTGTTGAAATTTTTTTGTTTATTGAAATAATTGAATTTTGGATGAATTTTATCAATTTTCTTTTAAATAATTGAAATCTTTTGAGAAATTTTATGAAAATACTAGATATTGAAAATAATTGAATTTCGAATATTTTTTGAAAATAATCGTATCGTTTTAAAGTACATATTTGATTATAATTGAGGGGCTGGATGCTATAATGTGTTACGCGCCATGTTAAGTGAATGGCGCGTAACACATTATAGCATCCAGCCCCTCAATTATTGAGAATAGTTTTTTGATTTCTAGTATCTAGGTGTGATTGAACAAAAATATACTAAAAATTTTTTTTTTCATTTTGACACTGTTACAGAATGAATCGATAAATATTAATTAATTAACAAAATTATTAATTAAACAAAATTTAATTATACTATTTTAAAATTTACGTTGACTGGCTCAACAAAGACAAAACTTTATCTGATTCATTCGAGAATAACTTAAGTACTCTTCGTGAAAATTCAATAAAATAATTCTTGGTTTAATAAAAATTTAAGTTCGGTGACCCCGAAATTTAAATTTTGAGATTAATACAATTAAAGTTAAAAGAAGGAACTACAATTTTGATCCAGGATTATCACATGTTTTAAACATAAAATAAATTACTGAGGAATAATAAAACAAAAAAGAGAAATAAATAGGAAACGAAATTCAGAAGTAAGGAAATTGTAATTTGTTCTCACAGGTGTGGGTCATTTGACACCTGAATCAGCGTTTTAATTGGACTATCTAAATATAGATAAATAAGACTTGGTGAGTCGAATTTTTATTATCTAAAATATATACACACACACATAAATTAAAGAAAAAAGAAGATTTGTCAGAAGGAATATTAACTGAATATTATATGTATAATAATTGTTATTTCTTTTTTTTGAGAAGTAAATGTTTTCTAAGTGACATAAATATTTTTCTAAGGATAATATTTTTATTATAAACTTAACTCAATATAACAAGGGATTTTAAATAGAAATATGGTAATACTGATAAATATTGTTGAACTTCGACAAGAAAAATAATTGATTTTGAATAAAACTAATATCATTATAATTGTATACTAAAAGTGTTATTTTTTTTTCGAGTAGGGGAGAGTCTCCAGTTGTGAGACACCTCCAGTTGTGAGACAGTAAATTTTTTTTAACATGCAATATTAAAAAGCCGATTGGTTTATATAAAAACATTTCTTTTTATATGAGCCAACTATTTCGTGTACACCGAGGCGGATATATAAACTGTTTTTGTTAAATACCAACACTGTGTGTGATAATCGACTAAAAAGCGTTTTTTCAATAAATGCAAAGTACTTTTTTTGCAATTTAATTAATTGAAAAAGGTAAATGTAATGCATTTTCTTTTAGTGTTTTCCTTATATTTTGTGATGCAATATTGCATTGTTCCAATCTGCGGTTGAAAATAATTTAATTTTCCTTTTTCAAAATAGCGCCAATTTCTGGGTGTGAGACACAGCATATCACCAGTTGTGAGACGGTGTCAACACCCATCTGGGCAGCATAAAAAATACTACTTTGCAGGCATACTATTTAAATGTTGTTTTGATTCTTTTTTCTAGTATTTTTGGGCATGTCAAGTGGAAAAAAGTCAATTGATTCAGAAGAAATCAATTTTAATGCTCTTGTTGAAGCTATTAAATTGTGTTTATTTGATAGTCATATTTTGGCAAATAAATATTATTATTTAGTATATAATAATATATATTATTAATATATTTAATTATTTCTACTAATCATAACGTTTTATGTCAAACTTATTAAATTTTAGCAATTTTTAATGAGTGTCTCACAACTGGAGACATTTTTTTTTTTTTGAAAAAAGCGATGTGTTCGGAAAATGTATCGTAAAATTTTTTGAGTTCATCGAAACACTATACTTTCTTTTAATAAAAGTTGCGTATTTCTGTTACCTTTCGATCGGTGTATTTTATTTACAATTTCGTTTGCCCGTTTACAATTTACGGGTCAAAAATGAAACCCGTCTCACAACTGGAGACTCTCCCCTACAATTTTCCTTTTGTTTCCTAATTTTTTATCATAAATACCGTCTAATCGGAGCCGCTGAATAAGAGCGTACTTAAGAAAAGTATCCACTACCCTTATTTTAAATTAATGAATTATTTTATTGAATTTTCACGAAGAGTACTTAAGTTATTCTCGAATGAATCAGATAAAGTTTTGTCTTTGTTGAGCCAGTCAACGTAAATTTTAAAATAGTATAATTAAATTTTGTTTAATTAATAATTTTGTTAATTAATTAATATTTATCGATTCATTCTGTAACAGACACGCCCATGAAAAAAGGTATTAAAGTGTCAAAAAATCTCGAATAGTTAAACAATTTGTTACTTGGAGGTTCCTGAAGTTGTGGAAATATAAACAATCGTCATTTTCAATGTTTTACAAAAATTTGAATAACTTCTAAAATAATGAACGCTTTTTAATAATCTTAAACTTATTTTAAAGGTTATTTTCTACATAATGAGAATTATTTATAGGCATTAACGTGTAATTTTTTTCTTAGAAAATGCAGGTCGTCAAACTTGAACAATAAAAATTCAAAAAATTTGAAACAATCTTATTAATTAAAAATATTTAAATAAAATATTGGCTAAATGACTTCTGAAAGATCTTGTTCTTTTCAAAGTGTTATCATCTTTCAAAAAATAAAAATGAAAAAAATTTGTTTTCATAAATTTTAAGTTTTAAAATGTTTTTTATTCACCTGAAATTGGGTGGTTTCTCAATTTTGACCGATGGTGTAATTGATTTATCCCAAAATATATAAATTACAACTTGGATTTTGAAATGTATACGTACCCATACTTCTTTAGGTTTCTCAAAAAACTGAAATCTATACTTTAGAGCTTCAGTTAACAAATGCGATCTATGATCCGAGCTGAATTTCATTGTTTCAACTTTACGATCTTTGCGGATTGTAATACTGAATTCCAAAGAACCAACTTGATTGCGATTTGTAGGTTGAATACTAACGAAATCTGCATATTCCCATTTATTAGTAACTTCCAGATTATTAGGATTATATGTGGTAATTCCCATAGATCCGATTGAAAAAATTCGTTTATACCTTAAACATATTAAAATTAAATGAAATCTCATGTTTCCTTAAACATTGAGGTTAAACAAACTGTAAAACATATTTTTTATTTTACATGCTATATACATGTCGTGCATACACCTCTTCACGTGTCTCCAACACGAGGTTCATTATTTACATTAATTTTGTATTGATATTCTTTCAAGTTTGAATTTTTTGAAAAATTTATTTACAATCTACGAAAATTTATCTATCTTTACATAATCTTTTAATGCTTATATTAAAATTCTTCTTATTTAAAAAACATATTTAATTTTGTCCTCGAGTTTTGGTTAAGTAGCATGTATATTTTATAAATATATCAAATTAAAGTTGAGAATCTAACGATTATTTTTCACTTATATTTGTTTAAAATAAGACAAAAAAAGTTATTGAAATTATTAATTACATAAAATAGTATTATCAATGCGAGTAAAAATTCAAATTCATCTCCGAAGCCTCGTTTTCTAAATAATATCATATTTTTTAACGTTTCAAACATAATATATAATCTATGTAAAAATATTTGAAGATTAAAAATAAAAATATTGTTTACAAAAATTGTAATATTTCTAAAATTAAAAAAAACGAGAATTTTTCTATTAAATTATCAATTCATCTCCGAAGCCTTTTTTATATTTGATAGGCGTTTTGTTTTTAATTTTTTAATCATTGTTTTGAAATATTTAACCCTCAAATTAAATTATTTATTTAATAAAAATAAAGTGTACAAGCAAGAAGTGTAATAAGTTAAAACATAACAATTTATTATTTAAAACAAAATTCCTACCGAGTTTTTTTATCATTAATTTAAAAGTTATAAGAGTTATAATTAATTAAACTTAACCTCTAGAACATATGATAATAAAATGTTGCTGGAGGTCGTATTTCTGGAAATTAATTTTGCGCAACTTACATTTTTAGATTTATAACATTTATTTGTGAAAAGAAAAGTAAAAAATAATTTAATTTTTTGGTAAATTAAATAAAAAGGGTTTCAGGAGAATCACCCATATGGAATTTATATTCCATTTATTATTATATTATATAATAAACTCATTTATTCAAAACTTGATTTCTGTCTTCAAAGAAAAGCCTCTATCCAGTAACATTGTGTAAATGTTGTATTATTCGATGTACCTATATTACTTTCTTCATTCTCAATATTACATACTTGTTATTGATATATATATTATTAATTTTGTTTTCTGTAATAAACAGATTTGGTAGATACAAAAGATTAATTTTCCAAAATATTGTTTTTTACTTGGAGAATAGTGATATCAGAATTATTTTTTTCATACTGAAACTTTAACTTTTAAAGCGCCAACCTAGATTTAGTTTAAATTTTTTTTTAATATTGTTACATGTGTAAATTATTAGATTTAGGAGTACTATATGTACAAAAGGACATGTCGCATTAATAATTAAATAAATAAATATTCATTGTTAAGTCGAAAAATAATGTATAAGATGAATAATTTAAATAAAGAACAAAGAGGTTATAAATTATAAAATACTCACTTTCCCTTCCATGAGTGCTTGGTGACAAGAAAACAAGCCACATCTTGATTATCCTTGATTGGTGTCATTATGACATATCTTATTATTAAGTAGCAAAATTCTGCGAAAAAAATACTCTTTATTTGAAATATTAACAGTATCAATAAATTGTTATACAGAAATATGGGAGGGAATGCAATCGGTGAAAATATGACAATAAATAAAGTAAGAATGGATTATTACTTCGGCACAATTATAAATTTGAGATACTCACAAGATAATAAAATATTAAACTGATTTATCTCATTTGAGGTGCACATTATATATTTTATTTCGTCAGTGTTTAGAAACGGCAGTCATAATAACAGTGGGTGTATTAAGCTTATCAGCTGTTGACAATCTGTAAAGCACGAAGTATAGAGACTATAGAGTAACAAACTAACCAAATCTAACGAAATTCGACACTGTGAGGCCGCAGTCCCATGGCAGCGTTTTGCGTTGCGTTGTAATGAGAGAGAATGCAGCAAACATATATTTGCGTCTTTTTTTCTCCCATTACGACGCAACGCAAAACGCTGCCATGGGACTGCGACCTCAGGGTGCGATCCCATGTGAGCAAAATACGTCGACCGAAAGCAGAAAATCATGAGTGCAAAAGAGATAGGTAGATATTGTTGTTCTTTTCACTCTCATGATTTTCTGCTTTCGGTCGACGTATTCTGCTCACATGGGATCGCACCCTGAGGTCGCAGTCCCATGGCACCGTTTGCGTTGCGTTTTGTAACTAGGCCATGAGTGCAAATATAGCGAACATATATCTTCATCTCTCTCACACTTATAGCCTAGTTACAAAACGCAACGCAAAACGCTACCATGGGACTCCAGCCTGAGTGGTCCGTGAAAGCATTGTGACGTCAGCACGGAAAATTAAGCAAGTTCTACAATGGTCACGTCACGACAGAAACACAAGGGACGCATGCAACAGAATTAACATTTAACAAAAACCTACAACCAAAATTGTCATTCAACAGAATTGACATTTAACATAATTGTCATGCAACAGAATTGACATTTAAAATAATTGTTATGCAACAAAATTGACATTTAAGGGGGGGTAGGTATGGTATAACGGGCGAAAAACACTTTTTAAACATTTTTTTTTGACGAAACTACTAAATATTATTTTCCAATCCTTTTATTATCACATTATTTAGTAACTTTTGAAGTATGTTTATAAATTTAAAAAAAATATCTAGAAACAACGGAGTTGCAGCCACTTTAGGCAGGCCATGTAAAAAATTGTTCCTCTTACGGTGTCTCGGATTAAAAATCTTAGAATCATCTGAAACAATCAATTAGAAGTAAAAAAATAAAAATAAAGAAAAGGGGAATTGACATTTAACATATTTTAGCACGATTTTTAAATTGACAAATAAAGGTACACTCTCACCTCACTGCCTGCCTGCCTGCGCAGGCAGGCGCCATAAGAGTGAGAGAGAAAAAACATTTAATTTGAATTTTCTTACTCTCTTACTCCTATGTGTTACCATGTTAACCTGCAGGCAGGCAGGCAGGCAGTAGGAGCTGTGCTAGCGCCTTTATTTTTCATTTTGAATTTTTTTATTGGTCCATTTAAAAATTCGCGCTAAAAACATTATGTTAAATGCCAATTTTGTTGCATGGCAATTGTGTTAAATACCAATTCTTTTGCTTGATAATTGTGTTAAATGTCAAATCTGTTGCATCTTGCATGGCAATTATGTTAAATATCAATTTTGTTTCATGATAATTGTGTTAAATTTCAATTCTGTTGCATGACAATTGCGTAAAGACGCTCTCACAGCTCTGCATGCATGCCAATGCATGCATAGTTGTCATGGTAACACATGAGAGTAAGTAAGTCAGAAAATTCAAATTTCATGTTTTTTCTCTCTTACTCTCATGCTGGCAGTAGAGCTGTGCGAGCGCCTTTAAAGGTCAATTCTGTTGCATGTCAATTTTGTTGCATGACAATTGTGTTAAATGTCAATTCTGTTTCATGATAATTGTGTTAAATGTCAATTTTTGTTTCTTGTCAATTGTGTAAAATGTCAAATCTGTTACATATGATAATTTGTGTTAAATGGCAATTCTGTTTCATGAAATTATGTCAAAATGTCAATTCTGTTGCATTTTGTGTTAAATGGCAATTCTCTTGAATAATAATTGTGTTAAATGTCAATTCTGTTGCATGACAATTGTGTTAAATGTCAATTCTGTTTCATGTCAATTATGTTAAATATTTTTCTGTTAAATGACTTTTTGGTTGCTTATTGTCAGTTGTAGAATATTATCATGCGACTCAAACGCAATGCTATTCTTATAGGGAAAAGAACTTGTACCCGCTTTTATCATTTTTTAATTTTTACTCATATTTTAAAAGTGGAAAACGCTTGTTTGACATGAAATAAAAATAAAATGTGATTTGTTAATTAAATGTGGTATGTATTTTATTCAATTGCATTGGCGAATTCTCTGAATTCGTGATTTAATATTACTTTGTAGGTTAGGGATGTTTGTTTACTAACTTAAAATTCTTAAAATCTTTTACAAGGTAATTTTCACTTTAAATATATTTTTACATGTTTTTTAAATTAGATGCATATCCAATGTGTAATTTTGAGAGGAAATTATTTTATTAAAGATTGAAATTAGAGTATATATTGCGCTCAATAATTCTGTCAAAGTGTAAAATGAACTTATAGTAAACAAACACCCCTAACCTCAAAATTTACAGTTTATTACAAATTAAGAGAATCTACTAATGCACTTGAATCAAAAGATATAACACACATAACTATGAACAAAATTTTTATTTTTATTTTATGTCAGTAACCGTTTTCCATTTTTAAAATGTAAATAAAATTAATGTGGATACAAATTTTTTCCAGAGATGGGTAAATGCACGGTAAATGTTACAAACTCGAGGTTTTCTACGTATATTACCTATATAATGACGTAATATACGTAAACTCACTTTTTTGAATAAAAAACAAGTTGTGTTGTAATTCTTAGGAAATAAAATAATGACCAGTCTGATAAAAGAATTAATATATTGATAATAATTGATAGTTGCATAAAGTTTAAAAATCCACTCAAATGTTTAGATTCAATAGTTTAAGTTGCATTTATGTACATTTAAAGTACTTACAGTAAAATAGATTTTTAATTTTCCGTAGAAAAGGAGAAATTTTAAGTCAATAAGTGAGAATGTATAAATTTATAGTTTATTTATTGAATTGCATTATTTAAAAGAAAATTGATGTTCGTCCTAACCACTTGTGTAAAAATAATGTAAAAAAAGGTTACCCTTTTACAAGTGTAAACAAGTTTTAAAATAGTATGAATGTTGAAGTCGAGAGGACGCTTTCAGAAAATGTCATTTTGCATACATTTGGAAATGTGGTGTTTCTAGCGCTTCACATTCAAAACATTGTATATGTGCATGCTAATGGATCGATAAAAGAGACTAATCATCGAATCCGTGGAGAGGATAGTTTTGGTGGTAGAGTTAAAGGTGGTGGGACGTGGTTGAACCTAAAGAGGATAGAATTAAGCGTCATTTCGCCGCTTTAATACCGGCGATTAACGATGTAGTTAACAGTATAGTTATGCCGAAAAAAGGTATGAAACATGTGAAGGACTATCACAAAGGTGATTCAACAAATTCGGATATCAAACCGAAATATTTTCGCAGTATTAATATAGGTGTTACGAATGGAAAGAGATGGCTTTCGCTCAAGAAGCGTTTAGGATTGTTGACAGATGAAGATCTTGCTGTTTATCTGCTAGACTTGGCAGAATCATTTGCCAGGTATATATATATTTAGATATCAATTTTATTTTTAAGAAAATTATTTAATTTCTAACATTCTAGAAAATTGTCAAATTTTTTAAAAATTTCATTTTTTGTCAAATTTGTTATCAACTATTCTTTTAAAGGGTGAATTCGCCATTTTGCGGTATATAATAACCCACCCTTGAGCTTGAGGGTGAAAGATCAATTTTTCTCGGAGAGACGCGAAATGAGAAGCACAAAATAAAATTTCATTTCACAAATAATTAATAACTTTTATAATTTTATATTAATTTATTGTCTGATTAGCAAACAAATTTTTAATTTTTCTTTTTTTTATTGTTTTTTTAAGATTATTTTATATTGTGTGTAAGATTTATTTATTATGTATAAATAAACTTTTTTCAATGACAACTAAAACAAAAATTTCTGGAAACTCATTTTCTCCTCACTATTTCTTATAAGATTTAATAAATTTTTAAGAAAAATAATTATTAAGTTGTAAATTAAATTTTTTAATTAGTTTTTGATTACAGAGTTGACGAATAGATGAAAATTTCTTTTTAGAAAACAGGAAAAAAATATTTAATGTTGATGTGTCAATAGAAGAGTGTAAGATTTTGTTTTCAAAAGTCACAATTTTTTATTTAAGAAATAAATTTTTTATTGTGGAAAAAAGCTTAAGTTCTGTAATAAAATTGAGAAAGGACTTGACGAGAAAGTGGGATAGGACTAATATTGTTTATAAATTTAATTGTAATAATTATCCAGCCACGTATGTTGGTGAATCGAAACGTACTTTAAAAAAAAGAATTAGTGAACATAAAAACAAAAACCAAGATTTGGGACGAAAAAGAACTCGAGGAAAATATAACCAAAAATACAGTTTTCATTTTAAGTTTTCTGCACAAATAAAAGAGTTTTTCAATTTTCCTCTTTCGTGTTGTAATATTTATTTAATTTATAAAAGAATAAGTTTTTGGATTTATAATTTAGAAAAGATTTTTGGCCAAATAATCCAAATAATGTAAATTTTCAAATTATTGTTTATTTAAAAATTTAATATAATCAAATTATTTTAATTTGTAATAAATAAAGAGAACAGAATCTTAGTTTCCATAAGTTTTTTTTGTTAAATATGCTTTTCATACATCAGAAAATATATATTAATATTATTTATTATGACATATTTTATTTAATGAAAAGAAAATTAATTTTTTTCTCAAATTACGTGTTTAAAAAATTCTAATTTTATCTATTTTCTTTTTCTTAAGGCGAGATGGCAAATGCAACGAAGAGAGTTCTTGGAAAACAAATCACAATAAGGAGAATGACTTGAGTGTAACTAGAAATGATATTTCACTAACACAAGAGGAGGAACCACTACGTCGTAGTCCAAGGAAACAAGGAAATGAAGCTTCGGATCCTGAGGTGCCTTCTATCAAAACAATACAATCGCTTCAGCCAACTGTTCTACTCGACGATGTTTTTAAGCTACACCTGAGACGAAGTTTAAGAACAAAACATCATAAGAGTAAAGATAAACATAAAGAAAAGCGTAAAAAGAAAAAACATTCGAAAAATGCTGGCGATGACGACAACAAATTTGAATCGAATGAACAATCTTCAGATATTTCGCAAAATGAGAAAAAGGTTTCTATAGTGGATACGAAAACATCATTCAGTGTTTCCGACAGTAATTCTAATATAGACGCAGAAGTAGCTGACGCTAGTAAGACTGAAGTATCAAAATTAAAAGAAGTATTTGTAAAAGATGTAAATAGCGAAAATAGTTTGTCTAATAATAAAGAGAAAATTAGTAAAGTGCGCGAGGATGAACAGAAACACAATTCAAAATCAAATAAAGAGGAAGAGATTAATGTTACCGAACATTCGAGTTTATATCAAGAAGAAATTTCCAAAAATATTGAAGATTCGAGTCTAGTTAAAACTGTAAATGACTCAGAGTCTTTAAAATCAGAAAATAATCAGAAAAAAAATATTCAGCATGAAGGAGTTGAGGAAAGTTCTGAATTGGTGACGACAAGTGTTTCAAAGGACTCGGACGATAAGAAATTGAAAAAGAAACGCAAAAAGTTAAAAAATGACAGTGAACCGAATAAAAGTATAATGACTCAATTATTGGGAGATTCTAGTGAAGAGTTAATGCACAAGCATCGTAAACGAAAGCACAAACTCGTGCCAAATGAGCACAAGAATAAAAAACTTCATGATGTTCGAAAAGCTCCACAAGATGGAATAATTATTAGTGAAAAGACTAAGGAATCAGAATTAATCACAGAAAGCTCAGTTATCATGCCTTCTGAAACGCTTCCCAATGAACAATTATCAGAAAATATGTCTACTGAGCCACAAAGATTAGCGATTACTATCAAACTCTGTCAAGATTGCAATAGCAGACATTTACAAGACGCTTGCCCTTTAACACTACCACAATATGTTGTTCATGATTCAATTACTTATGATAATTGGTTGAGTAAACATCAAGATAATCATGAAGTTATGAAGACTGTTAATGCCGATGATCCCATGTCTGAAGGCTATGGAAAAATAACAGATGATGGTTTTGATTCAGATGAAGATTCCGCTTCACCTGAACAGTGTAAATCAAAAAACAAAGAAACGGAGGAAAAACAATTGCAAGTAGATGACGATAAACCTTTATATTCGCGAGAATCGATACCGGATTGTTTTGAATTGAAACCGACAAATTCTGAACATGGATTGGGAGTTTATGCTAAAAGTGAAGTTCCAATTTTTGCACAACTGGGTCCTCTTGTCGGCAGACCAGTCAAGGAAATGGACATACCAGACGATTTTTCTATGCGTCACATTTGGGAGGTAAATCTTTAAAAGTCAATTTTACTTAGTCACAAGGTGTCTAGTGAACTATGAATTTGCCTAAAATGTAATTCTTACTTAAAAAGTCCGTGCATTTCCGAAAAGATCAAACAATCAGTAGTAATAGTAGGTACTAAATTACACGAATATATTCGGACAAGTGGTTTTTAATACAAAAATTACTCCAACGCAACGTTTCGAAATCAATACGATTTTCTTTTCAGGGAGCCTATAAAATAATACAGAAAATAAAAAATAAGAAAACACGAAGACGTTAAATAATAATTTGGAAACATTAAATAATAAAAAAAATATTAATAATACAGAAAACAATAATGAGAATACACGAAGACTTTAAATAATAATTTAAAAACATCAAATAATAAGTAATAAATAAAAATACAGAAATAATATAAACTGAGGATAAAACAAATTATGAAAATAATACAGAAAATAAAAATAAGAAAACACGAAGACGTCAAATAATAATTTAGAAAAATTAAATAATAAATAAAATAATAATAATACAGAAAACAATAATGAGAATACACGAAGACTTTAAATAATAATTTAAAAACATCAAATAATAAGTAATAAATAAAAATACAGAAATAATATAAACTGAAGATAAAACAAATTATGAAAACAGAATTAACTTAATACAATATTAAAATTAAAATTAATATAAAAATACAAAATAAAATTGCAAAAATTCAAAATCTTATTGACACTGCCTCTGACAAACGTTTCAACAAGAAAAATATTGCTTTCATAAAAACTGACTTGAAATTGAATAACTATCCTGACGAATTCATTAATAAACATATAAGAAAAAGAATTATACAAATTAATAACAGAGAAAAATCAATGAACAATGACAATATTAATAATAATGGTAATGATAATAATAATGATAATTACAACAAAGACAAAAAAGTTGTGTTTCCATATTATGAAACAATTTCAGAAAGCATTAAAAGATTATTACAACCTTTTAATATAAGGACAGTTAATATTATTACACTGAAAAAAAAGTTCATTGAATCAAGTAAATGCATTTTCTTGACCTGATTTACTTGAAACAAACCCATATTTTCTTATTGGAAGAAATTTATTTTCTTGTGTCAAGTAATTTTGAGCATTGATCAAAGTTATTGGAATAAGAAAATATGGGTTTGACATAAGTAAATATCTTACTGTTTCAAACGAACTGTTTTACATGCGCCAAGTCTCGAAAAAGTATTGAATCAAGAATATCATGTTCTCACGTCAAGTAATTTACCTTGAGTCATTTGGTATCTTGAGTCAAATAATTTTTTTATTTCCTTTAAAGCAACTATTTATTTCATCCAACACCCATAGTCTTGAGCCAAGAAAATGGGAAGATTAATACAAGTTAATAATTGTTTCAACTCAATTAAAAATTATTTTGTTTCAAAGAAATATTAATTAATCTAAGCATTTCTTTTACTTGAAGCATTTCTATATTCTCATGTTTCAAAATCATTAATTTCTTGCGAGAATGTTATATTTTCTGGAATGAAATATTTTATTTATTCAATTCAATTAAGTGTAAGATCTTGAAATAAATAATTCTTTTGTTTCCTTTAAAAAAGTTTTTACTTAATTCAACGCTCATATAATCCTGATTCAAGAAAATACGAAGGTTAATATAAGTAAATATTTGTTTCAAGTTGATTAAAATTTACATTCAATTAATCCCATATTTATTTGAAGAAAGAAATTCATTTTCTTGTGTCAAGTAATTATTAGCATTGAACAGAATTCTTGAATTAACAATTTAGTATTTGGCAGAACTCAATATGTAATTATTTCAACCAAATATTTTACTTTTCCGAAGTACCAAAAAGTATTGAATCTAGAATATCATGTTCTTAAGCGAAATAATAAAGTATTGTGTGGAGAATTCATGTTTCTTGAATCGAATCATTTTATTTATTTGCTTTGAAACTTTTTTTTACTTAACACAATGCCGGTGTTCTTGATCCAAGAAAATATTTTTCTTCAAATGTATATGCAACTTAAATATCAGTTTTTGAAAACTGTCCATTGAGGCTAGGATGGCATAGTGGTAGCGTGACGGCTTCTGGTGCGTGCAACCCGAGTTCAATTCCTCCGACCGTGGAAAATTTTCTTTCAAGGTATATTTGTTGTATTTGTGTTAAGTAATAATTAAATGTAAATATATATGTAAAATAACAGTTATTTAATTATTTAAATAAAAAATATAAATGTTGATTAATTAAATAATAAAAATGTTTGACCTAAGTATTAGAAAAGATGGGATGGGGGTAAGGGGGGGGGGGGTAATTTAAGTAAATAATTTACTTGTATTGAGAAAGTATTTTTTTGATTGAAATCTATAAATTTTCTCAAATCAAGAAAATATTTTCTCGGACAGAGAACATACTTTCTTGATTTGATACATAAATGATTTTGAATTAATATATTCTGCATTTCTTACATGCTACTTAATTTCTTGGTCGAATTCCATATTTTCTTGGATCAAGAATATCTGTTCTTCTCACAAAATAAATGTTTTCTTCATTTAAATCTTGAATTACTTGAACGAACGTTACAAAAAATTGAATGAATCAAATAAAATAATTTAATTAACTATATATATTCTTAGAACAAGAAAATATTTTATTCATTTAATACATTTCATACTTCGTATAAGAAGACTAACTTCTTGGTCGAATTCCATATTTTCTTGGATCAAGAATATATGTTCTTCTCCCAAATATCATATGTCAAGAAAATCGTTTTCTTCAATCAATACTTTAATAGTCTTGGCCGTATTCAATCCCACGATTTGCTTCAACCAAGAAAAATTTTCTTGGTTCAATACTTTTTTTTTTTCAGTGTATAAGGACACCTTATGGATGAACGAGGTACCCGGGTACCTATATATTTAATTTGTTGACGATTTCTTATGAATATTATTATTAAACTATAGTAACTAAATTACATATTTTATAAAAATTATGTGCAGTACTATAAAAATTGTTTAATGAAATTTTTCATAATTTTTTAATGAAAATTCCTGTTTTTTATCTGCATGAAGCTGGTACCTTGTCCGCCTTTAATGGGTGAAGAAATTTTGTCTATTATTTCCGAAAAAATAAATAAAAAAGGTACATTATAAATCTTTTTTTCTATATTATAAAAAGATTTCGCCGCTGGATTCAGTCCCCTGAAGTTGGTCACAAATGGTCAAAGGTCAAAGGTCATCGCTTTGAAGTTGGCCTCAGGTCACAGACATAGGTCAAAAGAGGGCCTATTTAATAGACAAATTTCCTTATATCTTCTGGAGTTAGATCAAAATGTAGGTCAAAATTGACCTATTTATTAACTTACACATAAAAAAGGCCTCATTAAGGCCTTTCAAGAGATCAAAGTTTAGATGAAATTCTACCTTTTTCAAGGTAAAGGGGCCTAAACGTAAATTAGGTAAAAATTTGTTTCAAATTTACCTTATTTATTAACATTTACATCAAAAGAGGCCTCATTAAGGTCTTCCAAGGGATCAAAATTTAGATAAAATTCAACCTTTTTTTTAACGTAAAGGGGGACATTAAGGACCTCTCAGGAGTCTTTATCGTACACAATTAATGTCAACAGTGTCAAAAATTAAATTAGATTTGTACGTACCTTCCATATATCGTTTTGCTATAATTTTGTGGTACTTAGAACGTTATGAAATGGCTTTTGTAATCTTAATACAATAAATAGTGAAAAGCTGCATTTTTGACATTTCAGAAATAGCGGTCCTAAGTTAGCCACCACTTTTTTCGCTGGTGTATAAGGAAGAAATGCATATTCTTTTCAATTACGCAGAAATTTTACAAATTTGATACATTTAGGAGAATAAAAACGCATTATTTAACTATTTTTGTTTAGAAAATGAAGCAATATTTTATTTCATTTATTTACAGTGGTGGATGGCTGTAGAGACAGGCGTTAATTTTTGTACTATATCTTTTCTAATGTTTTTTAAACCTTTTGTTTTGTTTTTTGTCTTTGTTTAATTCCTACGTTACACTTTTACGGTCTTTCTCGTGATGAAAAACACAAAAAAGAAGTAAAACATAAATAAAAACAATAAAAAACAATAGGTGGCCAACTTAGGACCACTGTAAATTTTTACAAGTTTCAAATTATTACGCTAATAAAAAAAATTTAATTAAAAAATCAACAGAACCTCTTATTACAACATTAAATAAAGGAACTAGCGCACACACGCATTTAGAAATTTTTAATTATTTATCTCTTGTAGCTGCTCTCGAAAAAACAAGAAAAATTAAATTTTATTGGTCGTAAACAATATTATTGTCCTCACAATGCGTAGAAGAATCTTAGATTATAATTAGGTCCATAAATTATATCATGGTTTATCAATATATCATACCACAAAGTTATAGATTCGTCCAGTATACCATCTCAGAGAAATGCAGGGTGGCCAACTTAGGACCACTCTCCCCTAATAATTTTTGTAATATTATTAATTAAATTAATTCTCCTGCTTCATTGTTTATTAAAATTATTTATTTCAGCGAATTTTTTTCTAAGATATATTACAGGGAAGTAACGAATTTTTTAACTCAAAATCTAAATAAAAAGAAATTAGTCATGTGTTATATTTCGGACCTGATTTCAATTACTACAATCTGAATCCGTACAATTTATAAATCAATTAATTGTGAAAAATTATTGCTTTGAGCTTAAAAAAAATTGTTCTGAAAAATTTCTGAAAAATAAAAAAGTTTCATCAACTAAAAATCATTTCTCATCAAAATTTCTGTAAGTTAATTCTCCTCCTTCCAATAAAAAATTGTTCTGAAAAATTTTTGAAAAATAAAAAAGTCTCATCATCTAAAAATCATTTCTCATCATAATTTCTATAAGTTAATTCCTTCTCCTGTTTGTATCGATTATTATAAAACATTAATATAATTGAGGAGCTGGATCGAAGAACC